ATCAGAACCCTCAGAAAACATCCTTTATTATAAAGGATCGACTCCCCCCTCACAGGGCCAGATCAGAACCCTCAGAAAACAGGACCAACATTATTCCCACTCTGCTGCACTATAGAATAGATTCTAACATGGAGACGATACATAGTAAAGACTGTCTCTAGATACAGACACACAGACAGGTGGTTAGAAGAGTCACCTGAGGCAAAGTCTCTAGATACAGACACACAGACAGGTGGTTAGAAGAGTAGGGGACGGAGGAGTCTAGAAGAGGCTTGATCAGGGTCCTCCTAGTCCTCACTGGCTCCGTGGTCAGTAAGAATCCTTCCCCTGGGTCAGGTGGGGTCGACTAGCTGAACAGGTAACGCTACGGATCACCTCCATCCACCTGGAGACAGACAGACAGACAGGTTAGAGAGACAGACAGGTAACACTACGGATCACCTCCATCCACCTGGAGACAGACAGACAGACAGGTTAGAGAGACAGACAGGTAACACTACGGATCACCTCCATCCACCTGGAGACAGACAGACAGACAGACAGGTTAGACAGACAGACAGGTAACACTACGGATCACCTCCATCCACCTGGAGACAGACAGACAGGTTAGAGAGACAGACAGGTAACACTACGGATCACCTCCATCCACCTGGAGACAGACAGACAGACAGGTTAGAGAGACAGACAGGTAACACTACGGATCACCTCCATCCACCTGGAGACAGACAGACAGACAGGTTAGAGAGACAGACAGGTAACACTACGGATCACCTCCATCCACCTGGAGACAGACAGACAGACAGACAGGTTAGACAGACAGACAGGTAACACTACGGATCACCTCCATCCACCTGGAGACAGACAGACAGGTTAGAGAGACAGACAGGTAACACTACGGATCACCTCCATCCACCTGGAGACAGACAGACAGACAGGTTAGAGAGACAGACAGGTAACACTACGGATCACCTCCATCCACCTGGAGACAGACAGACAGACAGGTTAGAGAGACAGACAGGTAACACTACGGATCACCTCCATCCACCTGGAGACAGACAGACAGACAGGTTAGAGAGACAGACAGGTAACACTACGGATCACCTCCATCCACCTAGAGACAGACAGGTAACACTACGGATCACCTCCATCCACCTGGAGACAGACAGACAGACAGACAGGTAACACTACGGATCACCTCCATCCACCTGGAGACAGACAGACAGACAGGCTAGAGAGACAGACAGGTAACACTACGGATCACCTCCATCCACCTGGAGACAGACAGACAGACAGGTTAGAGAGACAGACAGGTAACACTACGGATCACCTCCATCCACCTGGAGACAGACAGACAGGTTAGAGAGACAGACAGGTAACACTACGGATCACCTCCATCCACCTGGAGACAGACAGACAGACAGGTTAGAGAGACAGACAGGTAACACTACGGATCACCTCCATCCACCTGGAGACAGACAGACAGACAGGTTAGAGAGACAGACAGGTAACACTACGGATCACCTCCATCCACCTGGAGACAGACAGGTTAGAGAGACAGACAGGTAACACTACGGATCACCTCCATCCACCTGGAGACAGACAGACAGGTAACACTACGGATCACCTCCATCCACCTGGAGACAGACAGACAGACAGGCTAGAGAGACAGACAGGTAACACTACGGATCACCTCCATCCACCTGGAGACAGACAGGTTAGAGAGACAGACAGGTAACACTACGGATCACCTCCATCCACCTGGAGACAGACAGACAGACAGGTTAGAGAGACAGACAGGTAACACTACGGATCACCTCCATCCACCTGGAGACAGACAGACAGGTTAGAGAGACAGACAGGTAACACTACGGATCACCTCCATCCACCTGGAGACAGACAGACAGACAGGTTAGAGAGACAGACAGGTAACACTACGGATCACCTCCATCCACCTGGAGAAAGACAGAATGAAGACACCAAAACCAAACATTACACTACTGAAGACCACACAACCAAACACTACACTACACTACTGAAGATAAAACCACACTACAGGACGGTCAGCAAGACAACACCACTACAGGACGGTCAGCAAGACAACACCACTACAGGACGGTCAGCAAGACAACACCACTACAGGACGGTCAGCAAGACAACACCACTACAGGACGGTCAGCAAGACAACACCACTACAGGACGGTCAGCAAGACAACACCACTACAGGACGGTCAGCAAGACAACACCACTACAGGACGGTCAGCAAGACAACACCACTACAGGACGGACGGTCAGCAAGACAACACCACTACAGGACGGACGGTCAGCAAGACAACACCACTACAGGACGGACGGTCAGCAAGACAACACCACTACAGGACGGACGGTCAGCAAGACAACACCACTACAGGACGGACGGTCAGCAAGACAACACCACTACAGGACGGTCAGCAAGACAACACCACTACAGGACGGTCAGCAAGACAACACCACTACAGGACGGTCAGCAAGACAACACCACTACAGGACGGTCAGCAAGACAACACCACTACAGGACGGTCAGCAAGACAACACCACTACAATACGGTCAGCAAGACAACACCACTACAGGACGGTCAGCAAGACAAACACCACTACAGGACGGTCAGCAAGACAACACCACTACAGGACGGTCAGCAAGACAACACCACTACAGGACGGTCAGCAAGACAACACCACTACAGGACGGTCAGCAAGACAACACCACTACAGGACGGACGGTCAGCAAGACAACACCACTACAGGACGGACGGTCAGCAAGACAACACCACTACAGGACGGTCAGCAAGACAACACCACTACAGGACGGACGGTCAGCAAGACAACACCACTACAGGACGGTCAGCAAGACAACACCACTACAGGACGGTCAGCAAGACAACACCACTACAGGACGGTCAGCAAGACAACACCACTACAGGACGGTCAGCAAGACAACACCACTACAGGACGGTCAGCAAGACAACACCACTACAGGACGGTCAGCAAGACAACACCACTACAGGACGGTCAGCAAGACAACACCACTACAGGACGGTCAGCAAGACAACACCACTACAGGACGGTCAGCAAGACAACACCACTACAGGACGGTCAGCAAGACAACACCACTACAGGACGGTCAGCAAGACAACACCACTACAGGACGGTCAGCAAGACAACACCACTACAGGACGGACGGTCAGCAAGACAACACCACTACAGGACGGACGGTCAGCAAGACAACACCACTACAGGACGGTCAGCAAGACAACACCACTACAGGACGGTCAGCAAGACAACACCACTACAGGACGGACGGTCAGCAAGACAACACCACTACAGGACGGGCGGTCAGCAAGACAACACCACTACAGGACGGTCAGCAAGACAACACCACTACAGGACGGTCAGCAAGACAACACCACTACAGGACGGTAGCAAGACAACACCACTACAGGACGGTCAGCAAGACAACACCACTACAGGACGGTCAGCAAGACAACACCACTACAGGACGGTCAGCAAGACAACACCACTACAGGACGGTCAGCAAGACAACACCACTACAGGACGGTCAGCAAGACAACACCACTACAGGACGGACGGTCAGCAAGACAAACACCACTACAGGACGGTCAGCAAGACAACACCACTACAGGACGGTCAGCAAGACAACACCACTACAGGACGGTCAGCAAGACAACACCACTACAGGACGGTCAGCAAGACAACACCACTACAGGACGGTCAGCAAGACAACACCACTACAGGACGGTCAGCAAGACAACACCACTACAGGACGGACGGTCAGCAAGACAACACCACTACAGGACGGACGGTCAGCAAGACAACACCACTACAGGACGGTCAGCAAGACAACACCACTACAGGACGGTCAGCAAGACAACACCACTACAGGACGGTCAGCAAGACAACACCACTACAGGACGGTCAGCAAGACAACACCACTACAGGACGGTCAGCAAGACAACACCACTACAGGACGGTCAGCAAGACAACGTACCTCTGGAAGGTGTACTGGCTCTCTGACCTGAAGTAGTACACATGAGACTTGAAGTGGAGCTTGAAAACGTAGTCCTTCTGGATGTTCTCCGTCTCCGCAGGAACTGTCAACGAGTAGCCTAGCAACGGGAGGCTGGCCAGAGGGTAGTCATCCTATAGGGGACAGAAGGAGAGGACCTTTAGACTACTGCATCCCATAATAAATACTATATAATACACTACCCAGAGGTTAGTCATCCTTTAGGCTGAAGTTGGTGAAGAGCACCCAGAGTTAGGTTTAGGTTTATGTTAGAGTTAGGTTTATGTTAGGGTTAGGGTTAGGTTTATGTTAGGGTTAGGTTTAGGTTTAGGTTTAGGTGTAGGTTAGGGTTAGGGTTAGGTGTAGGTTAGGGTTAGGGTTAGGTTTAGGTTAGGGTCCTTACCTGATGTGATTTGTAGAAGAACAGGCTGAAGTTGGTGAAGAGCACCCAGAGTTAGGTTTAGGTTAGGGTTAGGGTTAGGTTAGGGTTAGGTTAGGGTTAGGGTTAGGTTAGGGTTAGGTGTAGGTTAGGGTTAGGTTTAGGTTAGGTTAGGGTCCTTACCTGATGTGATTTGTAGAAGAACAGGCTGAAGTTGGTGAAGAGCACCCAGAGTTAGGTTTAGGTTAGGGTTAGGGTTAGGTTAAGGTTAGGTTTAGGTTAGGGTTATGTTAGGGTTAGGTGTAGGTTAGGGTTAGGTTTAGGTTAGGTTAGGGTCCTTACCTGATGTGATTTGTAGAAGAACAGGCTGAAGTTGGTGAAGAGCACCCAGAGTTAGGTTTAGGTTAGGGTTAGGGTTAGGTTAGGGTTAGGTTAGGTTTAGGTTAGGGTTAGGTTAGGGTTAGGGTTAGGGTTAGGGTTAGGTTTAGGTTTAGGTTAGGTTAGGTTAGGGTTAGGTTTAGGTTAGGGTTAGTGTTAGGTTAGGGTTAGGGTCCTTACCTGATGTGATTTGTAGAAGAACAGGCTGAAGTTGGTTAAGACCACCCAGAGTTTCTGCCATCCATTACTGTTCTTAAACTTCCTCAGCAGGTTCCCTGATAACTGGTTCTGATAGGGGGAGAGAGGACCAATACGAAGAGACATTAAGACAGGATTAACCAATAGGAAGAGAGATTAACACAGGTCCAACATGGCTACTGTATCAGGCATGCAAATGAATACTACGGCGTTCAGCAGAAAAATGAAACATCAGTACTGCCAGTAGCCTTTAACTCATTAACCCTTTATAGCTAGCTGGGATGCTAGGCCAACAGCCTCATGGTACTACTGAACAACTCATTAACCCTTTATAGCTAGCAGGGATGCTAGGCCAACAGCCTCATGGTACTACTGAACAACTCATTAACCCTTTATAGCTAGCAGGGATGCTAGGCCAACAGCCTCATGGTACTACTGAACAACTCATTAACCCTTTATAGCTAGCAGGGATGCTAGGCCAACAGCCTCATGGTACTACTGAACAACTCATTAACCCTTTATAGCTAGCTGGGATGCTAGGCCAACAGCCTCATGGTACTACTGAACAACTCATTAACCCTTTATAGCTAGCAGGGATGCTAGGCCAACAGCCTCATGGTACTACTGAACAACTCATTAACCCTTTATAGCTAGCAGGGATGCTAGGCCAACAGCCTCATGGTACTACTGAACAACTCATTAACCCTTTATAGCTAGCAGGGATGCTAGGCCAACAGCCTCGTGGTACTACTGAACAACTCATTAACCCTTTATAGCTAGCAGGGATGCTAGGCCAACAGCCTCGTGGTACTACTGAACAACTCATTAACCCTTTATAGCTAGCAGGGATGCTAGGCCAACAGCCTCATGGTACTACTGAACAACTCATTAACCCTTTATAGCTAGCAGGGATGCTAGGCCAACAGCCTCGTGGTACTACTGAACAACTCATTAACCCTTTATAGCTAGCAGGGATGCTAGGCCAACAGCCTCATGGTACTACTGAACAACTCATTAACCCTTTATAGCTAGCAGGGATGCTAGGCCAACAGCCTCATGGTACTACTGAACAACTCATTAACCCTTTATAGCTAGCAGGGATGCTAGGCCAACAGCCTCATGGTACTACTGAACAACTCATTAACCCTTTATAGCTAGCTGGGATGCTAGGCCAACAGCCTCGTGGTACTACTGAACAACTCATTAGCCCTTTATAGATAGCAGGGATGCTAGGCCAACAGCCTCATGGTACTACTGAACAACTCATTAACCCTTTATAGCTAGCAGGGATGCTAGGCCAACAGCCTCATGGTACTACTGAACAACTCATTAACCCTTTATAGCTAGCAGGGATGCTAGGCCAACAGCCTCGTGGTACTACTGAACAACTCATTAACCCTTTATAGCTAGCAGGGATGCTAGGCCAACAGCCTCGTGGTACTACTGAACAACTCATTAACCCTTTATAGCTAGCAGGGATGCTAGGCCAACAGCCTCATGGTACTACTGAACAACTCATTAACCCTTTATAGCTAGCAGGGATGCTAGGCCAACAGCCTCGTGGTACTACTGAACAACTCATTAACCCTTTATAGCTAGCAGGGATGCTAGGCCAACAGCCTCATGGTACTACTGAACAGTCATATTGCCTGTTATGTGATCGTGGACAACATCTTTGCATGGACAGCTTGTGTACCTGGTGGGAAAACTAGGAGCACCAGTCTAAAGAACGTGTTGAAGTTACCATGTTGTTGTATCCGGTTACATCACACCTCAACAAGCATCAACTGTATTCACTTTGGTTCAGTCCCATATTTTTGCTACATTCCTAAGAGTCAATGTATAATTGGAAGCAGACTAATATGTAACAGTATTTTGTGAAGTGCACCAGTCCCTCCTGCAGCAAAGCAGCCCCACAGCATGATGCTGCCACCCCCGTGCTTCACGGTTGGGATGGTGTTCTTCGGCTTGCAAGCTCCCCCTTTTTCCTCCAAACATAACGATGGTCATTATGGCCAAACAGTTCTATTTTTGTTTCATCAGACCAGAGGACATTTCTCCAAAAAGTACGATCTTTGTCCCCATGTGCAGTTACAAACCGTAGTCTGGCTTTTTTATGGCGGTTTTGGAGCAGTGGCTTCTTCCTTGCTGAGCGGCCTTTCAGGTTATGTCGATATAGGACTCGTTTTACTGTGGAAATAGACACTTTGTACCTGTTTCCTCCAGCATCTTCACAAGGTCCTTTGCTGTTGTTCTGGGATTGATTTGCACTTTTCGCACCAAAGTACGTTCATCTCTAGGAGACAGAACGCGTCTCCTTCCTGAGCGGTATGACGGCTGCGTGGTCCCATGGTGTTTATACTTGCGTACTATTGTTTGTACAGATGAACGTGGTACCTTCAGGTGTTTGGAAATTGCTCCCAAGGATGAACCAGACTTGTGGAGGTCTACAATTTTTTTCTGAGGTCTTGGCTGATTTCTTTTGATTTTCCCAAGATGCCAAGTAAAGAGGCACTGAGTTTGAAGGTAGGCCTTGAAATACATCCACAGGTACACCTCCAATTGACTGAAATGATGTAAATTAGCCTATCAGAAGCTTCTAAAGCCATGACATCATTTTCTGGAATTTTCCAAGCTGTTTAAAGGCACCGTCAACTTAGTGTATGTAAACTTCTGACCCACTGGAATTGTGATACAGTGAATTATAAGTGAAATAATGATGTCCTAACCGACTTGTCAAAACTATAGTTTGTTAACAATACATTTGTGTAGTGGTGGAAAAACGAGTTTTAATGACTCCAACCTACGTGTATGTAAACTTCCGACTTCAACTGTAGATAATAGAACAGTAGATAGGCATGGTGGTTTGAATCAGCAGGTCAAGCTCTCCATCAGCCTCTCTATTGTTCTAGATCTATGTGTAACAGCAGTCCCATACAGTCAGGTTCAGTTCTACAGATCCAGTTTAATACTGTTGTGTTCTATGTCATTCTGTTGGCCCAGTCCCTTTCCTTCTCTACTGGAGCTGGTGTCAGTAAAGGACAGGCTCTGGGCCCGGTACCAGCACACCACTGACAGAGATGCTGGACCCTGAACCCTCAGCCCTGGCTCTGGGCCCGGTACCAGCACACCACTGACAGAGATGCTGGACCCTGAACCCTCAGCCCAGGCTCTGGGCCCGGTACCAGCACACCACTGACAGAGATGCTGGACCCTGAACCCTCAGCCCTGGCTCTGGGCCCGGTACCAGCACACCACTGACAGAGATGCTGGACCCTGAACCCTCAGCCCTGGCTCTGGGCCCGGTACCAGCACACCACTGACAGAGATGCTGGACCCTGAACCCTCATCCCCGGGCTCTGGGCCCGGTACCAGCACACCACTGACAGAGATGCTGGACCCTGAACCCTCAGCCCTGGGCTCTGGGCCGGTACCGTGCTAGGCCCCCTGCAACCTGGTCTACGGCTAGAGAACAGCACCTCTAACTGACTGACTGGACCAGGGTCCAGGGAGACGGAGGGACAGAGACAGAGGGAAGGACAGTGAGAGAAAGAACAGGTAAAACACAGACAGACAGACAGACAGACAGACAGACAGCACCAGTGTTAGACAGACAGACAGACAGACAGACAGACAGACAGACAGACAGACAGCACCAGTGTTAGACAGACAGACAGACAGACAGACAGACAGACAGACAGACAGACAGACAGACAGACAGACAGACAGACAGGTACTCTGGAGCAGACTGAACAGGAATATCAGACAGGGACAAGAGAGTGAGAGAGAGGGAAGACAATACACTGAGACACAATACACTGAGACACAATACACTGAGACACACTGAGACACAATACACTGAGACACAATACACTGAGACACAATACACTGAGACACAATACACTGAGACACAATACACTGAGACACACTGAGACACACTGAGACACAATACACTGAGACACAATACACTGAGACACAATACACAGACACAACACACTGAGACACACCACACAGACACTAAACTGAGACACACTGAGACACAATACACTGAGACAATACACTGAGACACAATACACTGAGACACAATACACTGAACACAATCCTGAGACACAATACACTGAGACACCAGTACACATGAGACACAAACTGAGACACACAATACACTGAGACACACTGAGACACAATACACTGAGACACACTACACTGAGACACAAACTGAGACACAATACACTGAGACACAATACACTGAGACACAATACACTGAGACACAATACACTGAGACACAATACACTGAGACACAATACACTGAGACACAATACACTGAGACACACTACACTGAGACACAATACACTGAGACACAATACACTGAGACACAATACACTGAGACACAATACACTGAGACACAATACACTGAGACACAATACACTGAGACACAATACACTGAGACACAATACACTGAGACACAATACACTGAGACACAATACACAGACACAACACACTGAGACACACCACACAGACACTAAACTGAGACACACTGAGACACAATACACTGAGACAATACACTGAGACACAATACACTGAGACACACTACACTGAGACACAATACACTGAGACACAATACACTGAGACACAATACACTGAGACACACTACACTGAGACACAAACTGAGACACAATACACTGAGACACACTGAGACACAATACACTGAGACACACTGAGACACAATACACTGAGACACACTACACTGAGACACAAACTGAGACACAATACACTGAGACACAATACACTGAGACACAATACACTGAGACACAATACACTGAGACACAATACACTGAGACACCACTGAGACACATACACACAATGAGACACACAATACACTGAGACACAATACACTGAGACACATACACTGAGACACAATACACTGAGACACAATACACTGAGACACAATACACTGAGACACAATACACCTGAGACACACAACTACACTGAGACACAATACACTGAACGACACAATACACTGAGACACACATACAACTGAGACACAACTACAACTGAGACACAATACACTGAGACACAATACACAGACACAACACACTGAGACACACCACACAGACACTAAACTGAGACACACTGAGACACAATACACTGAGACAATACACTGAGACACAATACACTGAGACACACTACACTGAGACACAATACACTGAGACACACTACACTGAGACACACTGAGACACAATACACTGAGACACAATACACTGAGACACAATACACTGAGACACAATACACTGAGACACACTGAGACACAATACACTGAGACACACTACACTGAGACACAACACACTGAGACACAATACACTGAGACACACCACACAGACACTAAACTGAGACACACTGAGACACACTACACTGAGACACACTGAGACACAATACACTGAGACACAATACACTGAGACACAATACACTGAGACACACTGAGACACAATACACTGAGACACAATACACTGAGACACACTGAGACACAATACACTGAGACACAATACACTGAGACACACTGAAACACAATACACTGAGACACACTGAAACACAATACACTGAGACACACTGAAACACACTGAGACACAATACACTGAGACACACTGAAACACAATACACTGAGACACACTGAAACACAATACACTGAGACACAATACACTGAGACACACTGAGACACAATACACTGAGACACAATACACTGAGACACACTACACTGAGACACACCACACATACACTAAACTGAGACACACTGAGACACAATACACTGAGACACAATACACAGACACAAACTGAGACACACTGAAACACAATACACTGAGACACAATACACTGAGACACACTGAGACACAATACACTGAGACACAACACACTGAGATGCAATACACTGAGACACAATACACGGAGACACACTACACTGAGACACACCACACATACACTAAACTGAGACACACTGAGGCACAATACACTGAGACGCAATACACTGAGACACAATACACTGAGACACACTACACTGAGACACACTGAGACACAATACACTGAGACACACTGAGACACAATACACTGAGACACAATACACTGAGACACACTGAGACACAATACACTGAGGACACAATACACTGAGACACAATACACTGAGACACACTGAGACACAATACACTGAGACACAATACACTGAGACACAATACACTGAGACACAATACACTGAGACACAATACACTGAGACACACTACACTGAGACACACTGAGACACAATACACTGAGACACACTGAGACACAATACACTGAGACACAATACACTGAGACACACTGAGACACAATACACAGACACTAAACTGAGACAAACTGAGACACACTGAGACACAATACACTGAGACACAATACACTGAGACACAATACACTGAGACACAATACACAGACACAACACACTGAGACACAATACATTGAGACACAATACACTGAGACACAATACACTGAGACACAATACACTGAGACACAATACACTGAGACACAATACACTGAGACACACTGAGACACAATACACTGAGACACACTGAGACACAATACACTGAGACACAATACACTGAGGCACAATACACTGAGACACAATACACTGAGACACAATACACTGAGACACAATACACTGAGACACAATACACTGAGACACAATACACTGAGACACAATACACAGACACAATACACTGAGACACACTGAGACACAATACACTGAGACACACTGAGACACAATACACTGAGACACAATACACTGAGGCACAATACACTGAGACACAATACACTGAGACACAATACACTGAGACACAATACACAGACACAATACACTGAGACACAATACACTGAGACACAATACACTGAGACACAATACACTGAGACACACTGAGACACAATACACTGAGACACACTGAGACACAATACACTGAGACACAACACACTGAGACACAATACATTGAGACACAATACACTGAGACACACTACATTGAGACACAATACACTGAGACACAATACACTGAGACACAATACACTGAGACACAATACACTGAGACACAATACACTGAGACACAATACACTGAGACACAATACACTGAGACACAATACACTGAGACACAATACACTGAGACACAATACACTGAGACACAATACACAGACACAATACACTGAGACACAATACACTGAGACACACTACACTGAGACACAATACACTGAGACACAATACACTGAGACACAATACACTGAGACACAATACACTGAGGCACAATACACTGAGACACAATACACTGAGACACACTACACTGAGACACAATACACTGAGACACAATACACAGAGACACAATACACTGAGACACAATACATGAGACACAACTGAGACACCATACACAGGACCATACACTGAGACACACTCAGGAGACACACTGACCACAAGAGACACACTTACAATGAGACCACACTACACAGAGACAGAAACATTGACCACGAGACACAACACAGAGACACAATACACCGAGACACAATACACTGAGAACGACTCCACTAAGACACACTACACAGAGACACAATAAACACGAGACACACTACACTGAGACACACTACACAGAGACACAATCCAAGAGACACAATTACACGAGACACAATACACCTGAGACAATACACTGAGACCAACACGGAGGACAGGACTGAGACACAAAAATGAGGCCCACTACAAAGAGACACAATACACAGAGACACAATCCACTGAGGACACATTACACCAGAGACACAGACACAGAGACACAATACACAGACCACAATACAACTGAGCACACTACCCAGAACAATAACTGAACACAATATACTGACACAGCAGACAATGAGACAGAGAGGTTAGACAGACAGTACTGTGGGCCAGGGAGGTTAGACAGACAGTACTGTGGGCCAGGTAGGTACAGAAGACAGAGGTTAGACAGACAGTACTGTGGGCCAGGTAGGTACAGAGACAGGGAGGTTAGACAGACAGTACTGTGGGCCAGGTAGGTACAGAAGACAGGGAGGTTAGACAGACAGTATTGTGGCCAGGGGTCTGGTAAACGAAGACAGGGAGGTTAGGAAAGACAGTACTGTGGGGCCAGGTGAGTTAGACAGCAGTACGTGGGCCAGGTGGTAGGTTACAGAAAGAAAGGAGGTAGACAGACAGTACTGTGGGCCAGGGAGGTTAGACAGACAGTACTGTGGGCCAGGTAGGTACAGAAGACAGAGGTTAGACAGACAGTACTGTGGGCCAGGTAGGTACAGAAGACAGGGAGGTTTAGACAGAACCAGGTACTGTGGGCAGGTAGGTTAGACAGACGTAACTGGGGCCAGGTTTATGGTACAGAAGGACAGAGGTTAGACAGACAGTACTGTGGGCCAGGTAGGTACAGAAGACAGGGAGGTTAGACAGACAGTACTGTGGGTCAGGTAGGTACAGAAGACAGGTAAGTTAGACAGACAGTACTGGCGCCGGCCAGGTAGGTAGACAAGTACTGGGCGTGCAGGTTAGGGTAGACAATGTGGGTCAGGTAGGTTGACAGACAGTACTGTGGGTCAGGTAGGTTAGACAGTACTGTGGGCCAGGTAGGTACCTCCACAGCCACACTAAAGTCCACCATGGACACGGAGGTGTTGCGGTGCCAGCAGACATGAACCGTAGTGTTTCCTCGCTGTGCTGCCTGGCGCTCCAATGAGCTACGAGACGCACTCAGCCTAAACTCCCTGGGTCGCCCCCCAGACTTCCCGCACCCCTCTGGAGACTCTGAGAACAGCACCAAGAGGAAATAATAAAGAGTGATGAACACAAACGGAGGAGAAGCTCTTCTCTCCCCCAGTCCGACTGAGGACAGGTTTAACGTTGTTTCTCAGAGTACAAAACATCCTTGTCACAATAACTAAATAAGAGAAGTGATCATGTGAATAGATGGATTCAGAGTTAATCTTATAGGCTACATCTATACGGTCCGGTCATTTTAAATCTTGTTATTCCAAAACAGAAAAAGTACTCTGACATCTGTGCTTGACAACCTGTAAAAGATACTTGGTGGAGAGACAATGGGCAGGTAATGACAGGTACATAAAGACAGATACATAAAGACAGGTATATAATAATGACAGGTACATAAAGACAGGTATATAATAATGACAGGTACATAAAGACAGGTATGTAATAATGACAGGTACATAAAGACAGGTATATAATATATAATAATGACAGGTACATAAAGACAGGTATATAATATATAATAATGACAGGTACATAAAGACAGGTATGTAAGATGACAGGACCATAAAGGACAGGTAGATAATCAGACCAGGTAAATAAGACCTAGGTATATAATAATGCCAGGACTTAAAGACAGGTATATAATAATGACAGGTACATAAAGACAGGTATATAATAATGACAGGTACATAAAGACCGTAATGAATAAATGACAGGTACAAAAGACAGGATGTAATAATGACAGGGGTACATAAAGGACAGGTTATAAAATGACAGTACATAAGAACAGGGATATAATAAGACAGGTACATAACAGACAGGGATGTAAATAATGACAGAGAGATTCAAAGACAGGATGTAATAATGACAGGTACCATAAAGACAGGTAATAATTACAGGACAGGGTACATAAGAAAGAATAATAATGAAGGTTACATAAATACAGGTATGTACTAATGACAGCGTACAAATAAAGACAGGTATATAATAATGATCAGGTAAATAAAGGAAGGTTGTACTAATGACAGGACATAAGACAGGTATATATAATGAAGGTACATAAATGACTAGGTGTATAATAAGAAGGTTACATAACACAGGTATAATAATAAGGATCAGGTACATAAAGACAGGTATATAATAATGACAGGTACATAAAGACAGGTATATAATAATGACAGGTACATAAAGACAGGTATATAATAATGACAGGTACATAAAGACAGGTATATAATAATGACAGGTACATAAACACAGGTATATAATAATGACAGGTACATAAAGACAGGTATATAATAATGACAGGTACATAAAGACAGGTATATAATATATAATAATGCCAGGTACATAAAGACAGGTATATAATAATGACAGGTACATAAAGACAGGTATATAATAATGACAGGTACATAAAGACAGGTATGTACTAATGACAGGACATAAAAGTACAGGATTATAATATAGGACACGGTACCTAAAGACCAGGTTATAAATATGACAGGTACATAAAGACAGGTATATAATAATGACAGGTACATAAAGACAGGTATATAATAATGACAGGTAAATGAAGACAGGTATATAATAATGACAGGTACATTAAGACAGGTATATAATACTGTACAGAGTCCATTAAGACAGGTATATAATAATGACAGGTACATAAAGACAGGTATATAATAATGACAGGTACATAATAATGACAGGTACATAAAGACAGGTATATAATAATGCCAGGTACATAAAGACAGGTATATAATAATGACAGGTACATAAAGACAGGTATATAATAATGACAGGTACATTAAGACAGGTATATAATAATGACAGGTAGCAGTTAAGACAGGTGATATAAATATATGGCAGTGGTACATAAAGACAGGTAATAATAATGAAAGGTCCAAAAGAAAGGAAACTAATGACACAGGTACATAAGGACAGTACTAAAGACAGGTATATCATAATGAGTCAGGTACTGTAAAGACAGGTATTAATAATGACAGGACATAAGACAGAGTATATATATATAATCATGACAGGTTAAATAAAGACAAAGGATTATATAAATGACAGGAACATACAGAAGATGTAATAAGGACAGTTACATAAGACAGGTATTATCAAGAAGAGGTACATAAAGACAGGTTATTATAATAATGAGGTACTAAAGACGGTATTTTAAGTCATGACAGGTCAATAAAGACAGGGATATAATAATGACAGGTTACCTAAAGACAGGATGTAATATATAATAATGGACAGTAATAAAGACAGGTAACTATAATAATGACAGGTACATATAAAGACAGGATGTAATATATATAATGAAAGGGACATAAAGGACAAGGTATATAATATTACCGGTACAAAAGGGACAGGTAGAATAATAAGACAGGCTACATACAGGACCAGGTATATAATTAATGCCAGGGTACATAAGGACAGCTATATAATAATGCCGGTCACTAAAGAAGGTATATAATAATGACAGGTACTAAAGAAGGATGTAATAATGCAGGGACATAAAGGAAGGTATGTATAATATTAAATAATGACAGGTAAATTAAGACAGGTATATAATAAGACAGGTACATTAAAGAAGGTATGGAATAATGAAGAGTACATAAAGACAGGTAATAATTAATGACAGGTAAAATAAGACAGGTATATAATAAGGACAGGTACATAAAGACAGGTATCTAATAATGACAGGTAAATAAAGGACAGGATATAATAATAAGGCCAGGTACCTAAAGACAGGTATATACTAAGACAAGGTACATACGAAGGTAGATAATAAGACAGGTACATAAAGACAGGTATCTAATATGACAGGTAAATGAAGACAAGGATTATATTATGACAGGTACTAAAGACAGGGTATATAATCAGGCCAGGTACATAGACAGGTAATTATATAATGCCAGGTAATTAAAGACAGGTATATAATAAGACAGGTACTAAAGACAGTATGTAATAAGACAGTACATAAAGACAGGTATCAATATATAATTAATACAGGTCCATAAAGCAGGTATATAATTAATTAAAGGTACATAAAGGACAGGGTATGTTAATAAGACAGGGGACATAAAGACAGGTTATATAATGAATGACAGGTACATAAAGGGACGGTATATAATAATGACAGGTACATAAGAAGAAGGTAATAATAATGATAAGGTAATAAAGACAGGTATATAAAAGACAGGTACATAAAGACCGGTATATAATAATGAACAGGTGGTACATAAGAAAGGTATATAATAAATGACAGGTACATAACGAAACGGTATATGAAATCAAGGACAGGTACATAAATGAAAGGTTATAATAATGACAGTACATAAAAGCAGGTACATAAAGACAGGTATATAATAATGACAGGTACATAAAGACAGGTATATAATAATGAAGTACATAAAGACAGGTATATAATAATGACAGGTACATAAAGACAGGTATATAATAATGACAGGTACATAAAGATAGGTATATTAATAATGACAGGTTACATAAAAACAGGTATATGCATAAGGACAGGTACATAAAGACAGTAGTATATAATAATCCAGGTACATTAAGCGACAGGTAATATAAGCCAGGTTATAATAAAGACAGGTATATTACTAGACAGGTACATAAAGACAGGTATGTAATAATGACAGGTACATAAAGACAGGTATATAATATATAATAATGACAGGTACATAAAGACAGGTATATAATAGAATAAGACAGGTCATAAAGACGGTAGGTCATAATGAAAAGGTACTAAAAGACAGGTATATAATAATGACAGGTACATAAAGACAGGTATATAATAATGACAGGTACATAAAGACAGGTATATAATAATGACAGGTACATAAAGACAGGTATATAAATATATAATAATGACAGGTACATAAAGACAGGTATGTAATAATGACAGGTACATAAAGACAGGTATATAATAATGACAGGTACATAAAGACAGGTATGTAATATATAATAATGACAGGTACATAAAGACAGGTATATAATAATGCCAGGTACATAAAGACAGGTACATAATAATGCCAGGTACATAAAGACAGGTACATAATAACAAGGTGAGATAAAGTTTCATAGCAGCCAGATGTAATATCCATAAGAGTCACAGAGAGGAACCGTGGTTCTCAGAAACATCAACAACTCCTCCAAGAAAAGAAAAGCGAGAGGAGAGAACTGGGAGAAAAAACCTGGGGATATCATATGACGCAGCTCACGTGGGTGGCTAAATGAGGTTAGCTAGGGCTCAGCCTGTACCCTGTGGCTAAATGAGGTTAGCTAGGGCTCAGCCTGTACCCTGTGGCTAAATGAGGTTAGCTAGGGCTCAGCCTGTACCCTGTGGCTAAATGAGGTTAGCTAGGGCTCAGCCTGTACCCTGTGGCTAAATGAGGTTAGCTAGGGCTCAGCCTGTACCCTGTGGGAAGGTTAGGGTTTTCATGGCTGCTATGGGTCTGGTGGACTGTAGATCAGAGGAAGGACCATTCATCTGTTCAGCCAGGTCTAGGGGTCAGGGGTCAGGGGTTAGGGGTAGTAGTGGACTTACTGCTGTCTGATAGGCTGGTGGACTGTAGATCAGAGGAAGGACCATTCATCTGTTCAGCCAGGTCTAGGGGTCAGGGGTCAGGGGTCAGGTAGTGTGACTTACTGCTGTCTGATAGGCTGGTGGACTGTAGATCAGAGGAAGGACCATTCATCTGTTCAGCCAGGTCTAGGGGTCAGGGGTCAGGGGTTAGGTAGTGGGACTTACTGCTGTCTGATAGGCTGGTGGACTGTAGATCAGAGGAAGGACCATTCATCTGTTCAGCCAGGTCTAGGGGTCAGGGGTCAGGGGTTAGGTAGTGGGACTTACTGCTGTCTGATAGGCTGGTGGACTGTAGATCAGAGGAAGGACCATTCATCTGTTCAGCCAGGTCTAGGGGTCAGGGGTCAGGGGTTAGGTAGTGGGACTTACTGCTGTCTGATAGGCTGGTGGACTGTAGATCAGAGGAAGGACCATTCATC